TATAACATTACAGGAGGACCTGGATAAAATAGGGGAGTGGGCATTAATGTGGCAGATGAGGTTTAATGTCGATAAATGCAAAGTAATGCACTTTGGAATTAAAAATAAACAAATGGGTTATACAATTATGGGTATGCCGCTGGGGAAGTCAGAAATGGAGAAGGATTTGAGGATTTGGGGGTCATTGTAGATGAAAGGTAGTTTGCAGTGCCAGGCTGCTGTAAACAAAGCTAGCAGGGTCTTGTCCTGTATTAAAAAGGGGATGTATTGCAGGGACAAGTCTATAATTTTGCCACTTTATAGATCATTGGTTCGACCTCATCTGGAGTACGCGGTCCAGTTCTGGTCACCAGTACTAAGAAAAGATGTCCTTGAGTTGGAAAAAGTCCAGCGGAGGGCAACCACACTAATTAGGGGTATGGAGGACCAGAGCTACGAGACAAGGCTACTAAATTTAAACATGTTCACATTAGAGGTGAGGAGATTAAGGGGGGATATGATTTCCATGTACAAAATGTTCAATGGTGGTAGCAACATTAGCGATAAACTGTTTAAAATTAACTCCGTTACAAAAACTAGAGCCCATCACCTAAAATTGGTGGAAAAAAAATTCCAGCACAAGGGGCGAAAGGGGTTCTTCACAGTAAGATCAGTTACGGTCTGGAACTCACTGCCACAGGCGGTGATTTCAGCAAATAATGTGGAATTGTTCAAGAAACTTTTGGACGATTTCTTAAGGGACCGTAATATACAGGGGTACAGGTAATATACAGGGGTACAGGTACTCCTAGAATGAGATCCTAATAGGTTGGACTTGATGGACTAATGTCTTTATTCAACCTCAAATACTATGTAACTATGTAAAATTGAGCAAAACCATTATACTTTCACTTTTGTGCCCAAACAGGCCCATGGTTCGTTCTTCACCACATGAAGGTATTCTGTCAGGGAGAGAAAGCTAAACTTCTAACCCTTTGCATTAACTTTTCCATAAGCAACAAATAACAGGAATCCAGATACAGAATCATATCTAGGTGGAATAGGACTCCTCATATCCTGCATTCTATATTCCCAAATTCCCCAGTGCTGGTGTTGTGGTACCTCCCCTGGGGACCTACTGCACGTCTTTTGGTCATGTCTTAAACAGAAACACTTTTGGGTTCAGGTCCATAAAATTACCCTAAAATGTACTGATACATTATAATTGATCTGGCCAATGTGGTCTGTGCCTGCGTTCCTGTGCTATGGAAGCAGTCTGCCTATAAAACACTGGTTTAAACAGAGCAAACAATATTACAACTATGGGAGACCTCACCAGCTCCCTAAAAAGGTACAGATGTAAATGCTGCACTACATGGTGCTACTGGAAAGACGTCATCACCATGGAAGAGTACACACTGTTCTGGAACTCCTACGGCTCTACGGGTGCCCTTCAGATTCCTTCTGGCTTTGTTCCTTCTCCTCAACCCTCCTATCCCATTGCTTCCCAACCCACCTACCCCACCTTTGCACCGATATCCCCTTTCCAACTCCTTGAGAGTTCTGGAATGTCCGGTTTGCACTGACTTTGTTTCTTCTCTTCCTTTGTTCTGTTTTATATGTCTAGTACTTAATTATACAGATGTTTTATATGCTTGGGCAGCTCTTGTTTAGCATTTATTTGTACCTGTATTAAAACACCTTCCAAAAAAAAGGTATTACCTTGACTTTATTGTCTGTCTTTGTGAAGTGTTGAAGTCTCTGTCTCTGTTCCTCTGTTGGTCTGGACCAATTCACTTCCAGCTCTTGAACAGCCTTAAAAAATGGACAAGCAACATTCCTGTTATATAAAACTTGCTGCATTTATGTTACTTGATAGTAAACAATATAGATATGTACATGAAATACATCCCAAATAAATAACAGTGACTACAATATTAGGTCCACCTCAAGTTACTATACAGTATATTCACAATGTTACATATACAAATTATACTTGGATTCGGGCTTCTTGGCTACTTGTGTTTTCTGTTTACATACAAGTGGTCCAGCGGCTGTAGAGCTGCTGGATCGCTTGTATTATGCATGTGGGTGTGCGCCCCCCTCTGCCACCACCGATCCCAAGCTACGCTGCGTCTGGTGTGGGCCCGGGACCCATACATCGGCTCTGTCACTGGAGATCAGAGTGCGATCATCACATAATCTCCCTTTTTTGAATGCAGGAAGTGATGTAAATTACATCACTTCCGCATTCAGCTGTAATTCTTTGGCTTCTATAGCTGGAAAGAAGCTGCCAAAGCAGATCTCTGCTTCATCAGCTTCTTTGGGGGTCCCTTAGGTGACATTAGGGGTCTTAGAGACCCCTGATGTCTCCATAAAAAGGACCTGTCTGTGTAAACTGGCTATCACATAGGGGGTTTCTTAGCCCCACATGTGATAGCAATAAAGTTAAGTGGGGAAATTTTTTGTAACAAAAGTTAAAAAAAAAAAAAAACACAAAAAAGTCCCCCGCCCCCACATAGAAAAAAAAACACGTCAGGTGCACCTACGTGCGCAAATTATGATTGTGCCACACATGTTACATATCACAGCGACCGTCCGAGTGAGGGCAATCATTTTAGGGCCATCAATCAATGTTAACACTAAACTGATGAGCAGTAAAAGCTTATTTTGCCCAATTTTGGGCATGGTATTTTTTGCGATGTAGCGGGTGCACACAATTTTAAAGCTTGACATGGTGTCTATTTACCTGACATGGCCCCGTCTTTTACATTTTATAGAAATTTTGGTAAGAATAAATGTTTTAACATAATATAGGCAGGGGTCAAAATTTCAAATCCTGAGCTACTAGCCAGGTCTTAAGAGTTACTCGCCACCAGTTGCCCACCTAACCCCTACCCTGCCCCGGCCTCAACTCCGCCCCTAAAACACACCCTCTTAAATAATCTTAGAAATGACACTGTTAGATGTTTTATGCAAAACTTGTAACAAAAAGTTACAAAAATAAATATTAACAACAACTTTAACAATATTACCATAAAACTCCCTGCCCCCACATATAAAATATTACCCTCTCCCCCCCTGTTCCCTCCCCCACCCCGCAA